CCCAAAATTGTGAACTGAGCGTTGGGGTCTGTTTCAACAATGCTATCTACGTTTGCCGATGAAACATCAAAGAGTGTAGGGTCACTACTATTTGGGGGACGGTACACAGTGCAGAAGTAGTGAATAACAGAAAGGAATCGAGGTTTGAGATTTAATTGAGAGAACGGAGTGGAAACAATTAAATGATGAATGAAAGTACAAACACCCTTTTTCTGAATAAACGAAGTGTGAAGGGATTAATTGGGAAACTGAAGATGCGTAGTGTCTGTAGAAGCGGAAAGTTGTGATTCGGATAAAAATAGAGCAAAAGGGGAAGTGGGCTGAAGAAATTAGTGTACCGAATCAATATTGTAGTTCAAGCCGCGAATTGCAGTGAGTGCGATTGTCGATTGAGAGTGCGCTTGAGAAATGTTCCTGTTTGTTGTAGTATTCATGTTGAGATCAGAGAGAAACCGACAATCTAGTCCTGGAACTTGGAATGGCGAACCTCATAAGGCCCCGATGGCTAGGCGGTGGTACTGATCCGGACGACGGCAGAGCCGTCTATCACTCGCATACGTTGGAAAATGGACGCATCAATGACTCCCCTCTGTTTTAGGTATCGCAAAATATTAGAACGCCCCTTCTATTTAGACCGTCTTATCCTTTTCCGTCGACTTTGTGAATTTCCACCGATAACTCAATGTCGTATTCATCTTGTCAAATGAACTAGNACTAGTAACTACAGAACACGTCAGTCGAATACGAGAAGTTCAAAAATAGAGATATTATACTATCTGTATCCCAATCCACCTTCCCGTTATTGTTATTATTGTTGTGGCGTTAGCACCATGCTTGTATGCAAGCCGATGTGATATATATATATATATGCCGATCAAAGGGGACACATTAGTTGAGATCATACAAAGGTTATCCGATGCAGTCGATAAGACTTTCTATGCATCCAAACTGCGTGTTTTGTTCACGTCCAAGCCAATTGTGTTTGAGACTGAAGGACAAAGTTCCAGACTGCGGCCTCATTCTGTGTATACTCGTTTACTTGTTCCTGTGGAACAACGTACATAAATCGCACGGTCAGGCGATTGTCCGAACGGATTCGTGAACATCACCCTGCGTGGTTGAACACCAGAATGATTAAGTCACTCACCAGTGCAGTGGTTTCACACCTAGCCGAAACAAATCACACTGTGGACGTGTCCGAGGCTTTCTGACCCCCGTCCGTGGGCGATTATCGAGGCAGGTTCGCTATCGAACGCTGGCTACAGCAGAAGCGGTGGACATTAGTCTGCACAACCCCTTCTGTGTGCCTAAAAATAATTTGTGCAATCGCTAAAGCTTCCCTTGCCCACACACCGTGTAACCTCGATGATCAGATGAGTGGACAAACAAATGTAATCGTAGTGATTCCGATATCCGGTCTCATGATGAAATCGTTTCCAGTAAACTGCGATTTTATTGTGCGCATAATGGATTTTGAGCAATGTGGCATCATTAAGCGCTGTGCCACTTGTTCAATGAAAACTGTCGAGGTTGTCACCAACGGATCAGTTAGTTTCGGAATGCAGCGTGCATTGTCCGAAGTTGTGCTTACGACATCTTGCCTATATAAGCTGATGCCTACTGTTTATAGTACGAATTGAAGCACTTGTCAATCGGCAACTACTTTTATAGACGTCTGATTCCCCATTAAATCTATTTCCAATGCATTCTCGGCAACGTTGAATGACCTTCCATAACCATGTACTACTTGAGTAACCTACTGCATGTGATGTTGCAATTGCGTTCTTACTGAAATTCACCTCACTCTATAACTAGATGGGAACGACAAGGGGACATTGCCGCTGCACTTGACGAAGGTCGTCACGTGGTTGTCGATCGTTACAGCTATTCGGGCATTGTGTACACTGCGGCCAACACAACTCCGCTATCAGAAGTGGATTGGGCCTGGTTTCGTGCAACGGAGTCCGACCTGGTAAAACCAAATGTGATACTATGCCTGACTCCGGAGGACATGGTCGAAATCACGGCTCGCGATGGATTCGGACAACGGCCTTCTGAGAATGCTTCGTTTCAGTCTCGTGTCCTCATGTATTACATTCGTTTATCCAGAGAATTGGAAGGAGAACCAGTAAAATCGATTGATGGACGAGAGCAGTCGGAGAAAATTGACTGTGAAGAGCCTGTTGGTAGGAAACCCAAATTGTGGAATTGGATTCAAGCAACCGGACAGACCATTGATGAAATTCATACTTGTATTATGGCTATCTTAGACCCATTGTTGTAATTTTCAACTGGACTTACCAATGTTCAATTTTTGCCTTCAATGTTTTGATCCCATTTCCCACTATTACAATGTATTGCAGTTTCTTACTGGTAAATACTGTCCGTTATGATTGATTCGTTTCTTTTTAACCCTAGTTCCAACACCGGGTAATTAGACCTGTAGTTGTATATTTTTAGGTTAGTATGGGAGTATCATATTTAGGGATACGTTGCATCGCATTTTAATCTTGAAAGGTTTCTGCTCAAACAAACCACGCTTCTTCGCTTTTCGTGATTATCTGTCGATGTGGTGTACCGTGCGATTGAGGAACTGGAGGGCTAGCTTCGTATGCCTTTCAATAGAAAGTTGTCCATACTAATTTACTTGTGGATGTTTTGCATGCGATTTTTTTCGTCTCGTTACGGTTGATCCTTTGTTAGATGATTATGCCCCTAAGCAGTTCTTTGTTCTAGCGGAGGGTAGCTGTTTTGTCCTTCTGTATTTGGCTTAGTGTTGGAGCTGCGCAAGCGTTTGATTAACCGTTATTTATGTATTTAGATTTTCACAAACGTCTGACGCCAGACTGTGCCAAATAAATCATGGTACAATAGCCTCTATAATAAGGAAAGCGTTCCATGATTTGCATGTGGGCGGAATACTGCCAGGTTGCCCA